CTACCAGTCGAGTGGTATAACCTGTTGGGATCCGTACGGACTGAGTTGCCAAAAACATGGTATATAACTGGGGTGTCGAACTATGAGGTCCAGTATTGAAAATTGTCGGTCATTAATTATGACAAGAAAATAGAGTTTCATGAGTGGTTTTAGACCAATCTTCAAAATTTCATACTCATTGTAGCGGATTACAAAGAGGAGTAAAAAATCAATTAGATTTTTGGTGCAAATTGAATTTAAGGAGCAATGTGATGTGAAAGGGAAATAGTTTTGCATTTTGTGGAAGCGGGTATCGCGCTTAGTAAACTCAAGCTTTATCTCTCAATGTGGAGGTTGTAAAATCCAAAGTTTTTTATTTTGGGTTACACTAATTGAACAAAGTACAAACAACTTCAAAATTTTCTTCTAGGATGGTTGATGCTGCTGAGAGATGAACCCTGGTGATGGGAAAAAATACTGCAGAAGATACTAAATTAAAAGAGATTACCTCGTTAGACTTACTTCTTATTTCTCAAAAGCTAGTCGTACCCTCTCGTTTGCTCACATTGATGATTATGCCTTCAGTCGCGTGATTTAAGAATTGAGAGATAGATGTTGATCTTATTTGTGAAAAATAAAAATCTTTGAAGTTCATTGCTAATGTGTGGTTGGCCTACCCACTATACTTTGGGGGCAATGATCTATTACTTGCAAACTTTACGAAACTAATGCCATTCAACTCTTAAAAATTCTAGTCTTAATTGAAAACCTTCATTCCAAGAATGGGGTATCCCTTCTCATTTGAATTGCATGTTAAAGATGAAACAAAAGTCGGGATGAGTTCATGAAGTATTTTAATTCGAATGTCTTTCTATATAAGGATTTTCAATCATCATAAATTAATTAATCCAATATAAATTATATGACATTTGTTGCAGTAGAACAAAAACTTAAGTAAGACATTTCATAAAATCGTTCAGACTTTTATTCCATCTTCAATAAATAGATGTAGTTGGAAGGGAAAACTCATTTTTATATGGGAACTTATCAAATAAAACTGTAAGTGTTAAAACTGAACGAATATAAGAATAATAATTTTTAATTATAGAGGATTTTTTTTTCAATGGAATGTTTTTTCAACTTTCATTTCTTGTGTAATTTTTGTTGTCGCAAGACAATTATTTTTTTGATAATATAGGAAGAGAAAATAAAGTTGTTCTCTCATACTGAGTCTTAAAGGCGAAGATTAAACACACCATTGTTATTGTAACAAAGTGCGATTGATAGAAAAAAATAACTAAAACCAATACTAAACTGTGGGGTCTGTGGTGGTTTCATAGTTAGTGGGTAAGGGATAAGCAATTGCTTTGAATTAGAGAATATAGGTTAAGTTGGTTAAGTGTTATTTTACTACTTAGTCGATATTCGAACATTCAATCCTATTTTTCACAACAGGAAGGATGTAGCAACATGGTATATGAGGTGGGAAGGAACATCAATTTCTCAAGAATCTGTTTTTGTTCCATAACCCCACGCCAGGGGTTGTCTCATTAGAAGTTTAGTAAACAATCAAAAGCACAGTAGTTTAGCTCCCTTGATAAATAAGACAACCTTTAAATTTTGTATTGATAGGAGACGATTGTATTTTAGTAGATTGCATACAAAAGAGGTAGGTTATCGTAGGCGTAGACAACAAAGTGGGGCTAAGGAGGAAAGTCCCGAAGACAATTGTTTGTAAGCTAAACTGGATGATGCTTCCTATCCTTTTTTTAGAGTAATGATGTTCAACTCTCCGACCCCAATTCATTTTTTTGAAGGATGCCAAAAAACCTCTCAAACAAACCGGAGGAAGAACCCGAGAGCATCATCCAACTTAGCTTATCGGGTTAAACCCTAAGTGGCTCGCGACCACCTAAAGTCACCTTAAGAAATTTTTGATAACTTGATTAACACTTATCCTTTAACTAACCTACCTCTGATAATAGTTCGTAAACTCTCTCTCTCTCTCTCTCTCTCTCTCTCTCTCTCTCTCTCTCTCTCTCTCTCTTCCCCTCCCCCTCTCCCTCTCTCTCTTTCAGCGCAATTGCCGAACGATAGTGTCTTTCCCCTGAATGGAACGCACATCTGTGTACCTAAACAAAAAGTTGCTTCAGAAAATAACAATCATAATGGTCGTGCATTTTCATTAAAACACTAGTACACCACACATAGGCTCGCAATTGTCGAAGGCCGCCGATTATTTTCAACGCCCCCCCCTTGCCGCGCGACACCATCGAGTTTTCATTGTGGCGATAAAAACGTCCTGTAAGGCTAGGGCTACGTTCTCGCGTTTTAAACCACCGGTCCCCCGTCCAGGCGAAAAAAAAATAAAATTTAATTCATGGAAGATAATGGAAGAGCCGATAGGGGCTTGGTGGAACCTCGACACTTGTCCATTTCGAAAACCAAAACGAACGACCACAAAGTATAGCAGAGGAAAAAAAAAAAAAAAAAAAAAAAAAAAAAAAAAAAAAAAAAAAAAAAAA